TGTAAGAAGGGAAGAAATGAGAATATATATAATGCATATATTTATATAGGTACATTCATATTTGCATAAATAAAAACTGGAAGGATGCGCAAGAATCAAAAGTATGACTTGTAAGAACAGGGGAAGATAGAGACAGTGGTTGAAGCAAGATCTCTTAATACATTTTTTAGAGTGTTTTGATTTTTGAACCATGTGATGTTATTATCTAACAATTTTAGAGGGTCATGAGATGCATATTATTATTTCAACAACCCTTTCTGATTAATTTTCCATTTTTTCAAACAGCCTACATTTCTTGAAGATGTATAGGAGGCAAACGTATGATACTCTTTAGTTTATTTTTTAGTTTCTTTTTGGACATTTGGGTTAATTTGGGAATGCTACAAATGGTGCTACAGTGACTGAACATCCTTGGACACAAATCTCAGTACACGTCTTTCATTTCCCTAGGAAATTGATGTGTCGAATGGTGAGAACACTCTCCGGGTTGCAGCAGGTTCTCACGTGTGTGACGGGCTCTGTGATGGCTCCTCACTGCGTGTGATCTGGGACAGCAGCACTGGAGCCCAGGAGCTCTTTCCGTCACTTGCTGGCCTCCAACCCAAGCACATTAGAATTACTGAAGGAGGTTTTTAAAGGCCGATGCCTGGCCTGTGATGGAGTCTGAGCCTCAGTGGTTTTGAAAGGCTCCCAAGAGGAGAGCCGCTGGTATAAGGGATAGAGCAGCAGGGCTTCAGTCAGGCAGACCTGGAGCCATGTGGACTCGGGCACTACTCCATGTTTAATCTCGGGCATATTTCTTATTCTTTCTGGGACCTAGTCTTCTCACCAGTGAGATGAGCGTGTGTCTTGACATGAGTCCAGCCATGTTTGGCTGCTCCCTTAACCTACAGGCACCAGCACAAAAACAAATATAAAAGCTGCTTTCTGCGTGGTGGGAACTGGCCCTTCTCCCATGGAGATAGTTCCAATGTGTAAAAATTTCAAGGCCCTTCGGGCGCCGCAGCCTGGGGCAGACTGACCCTCTGTGCCGGGCTGGGACAATAAGCCGGATAAACAATGCACGTACACAACTACTGGGCTGGGATGATAGCCTGGGGGCGGGGGGAGGGGGCACTCAGTGCACGTACGCCACTGATAACCATTTGTGCATGGGAACACTAGATGCTTGCTCTGAAAAAAGCTCTGTAACTGCTTACTCTGGAAATTATTGATGCTATAAAAAACTGCTGGAGACTGAGACCTGGTGAGAGTTCCACCTGTGGAAGGGACGCCTTGCCCAGGACACGTGATCCTTGCCCAGCCGTGTTGATTGACAGGACTCTCCCGGCAGTGGAGCGTGGATGTTGTGAGTAATTGATTTATTGTGAAGTACTGGATCTGATGTGTTCTCTTTTCGGTCAACCTTGTGTTTCTCTTTCCGGTTGATTTGTGTCATTTCCCTTCAGTCGATCTGGTGTTTCCCTTTCCGATGGATCTGATGTTTTTCCCTCTCATTATATGACCTATTGGGATCTGCTGCTATCTCAGCCCATGTGGATGTTTTCCCTTTCCAGTCGAGCTGGTGTTTTTTCCCTCTTATTATTTGAACTATCCAAATCTGTTTGTGGACTATCGCCTTTACTATCCTCTATATAATAAAATATACCTTCAGTCGGTTTGTTTGTGGAAAATTTCTTTTACGTCTCCAATCAAATCCCCAGACCTCTCATAACAGCGTGATACTCATATGTGTTACAGTGAGAGCATTAGACACAAAGCACACAAACTGCCTAGCAGAATTCCTGGTACTAACTAAGTGGCAGGTACTTGCTGTTATTCAAACAAAATAAAAGACAGCAAACAACAAAAAAAAATAGCCTAACAGAATGTGACAGAGACCATGCATTTACCCATATAAGATTTCATGGCTAATGAAAATGTTGAGTTTCTAGACTTTTGGGTGAATTGTATCATGTAGGTATAGTATCTCTGATTATGTCTTATTACTCAGAATTGCTAATGAGCAGTTATATGGGACTTTGATTAATATAAAAGGGTAAATCAAATATTACTTAATTGTGTCCTGCTTGATTGACAGAAAGCCTTCAAAAATAAAGTCTCTGAGGAAAAGAATTCAAAACAGTATGGAGAATTCATAATGGGGAAATTTGGAGAATTGTTGCCTTAAAGTTTCCCTTTCTTATAGTTGAGAAGTGTATGGAGACTCTAGCTCTATATAGATTTTTGAGACACAAGTATTTTTGTGTGGAATTGTGTAAATCTTTGCCTAGTTTATCCACTGCACATCTGTGGATGCAACCTGTTATTCTGGTATTAATTTTATCCCACAGAGTGCCATGGAGTTGAATCACAGAAGTCCAATTGGTGGGTGGGAGGTCAGCATATAAAAGTCTTCCCAGCATGAATATTGTGTGGGAGGTTGGCCAATGTCCCTCAAATTGTATGAACAGCATAGGAGCAAGGAGAGGAAGGGTGGACAGGTAAAGTTCTCTTCACCAGCTCTTAGCCCAATAAAGAAAGAAATATTCCTGTTTTAGGTGAAAGTAAGGTAACCTGTTTCTACTCCAGTAGCAAATAATGTAGGCATTAAGAGCAGAGCTCCGGCAGCCAGGCTACTTAGGTTCAAATCCCAGCTCTGTTTCTTATTAGCCATCTAACTATGGGGACATTCTTTATCATCTAACTGTTTAGTTTCCATATCTATAAAATAGAGATAATTGTACATGTCTCACAGGTTTCTTGTGAGACTTAAATAAGTTAACATGTACTTAGAGCAGTACCAGTAAGTGCTACCCTAACATTTGCTATTATTAATTCATTTGGATGTTAATCATTGGATTTGTAAATCGCGCTAGAAATCTGACATTATTTTATTAGAACTCTTTCTTTTAAAGCTGGGTGAATTTAGGCAATGTGACACGATCAAGAACAAATGACGCAGCTAGTTAGAGCCCGACCAAGGAGCCGAGGCTCTAACTAGGGGGTGTCAGGTGCGACCTCTGGGTCAGTGTTTGTCCCTCCACACCACATGGTAGTTGTGCTGTGGTGCAAAAGCACATGACCAAAAAGGATGTATAACCTACCTCCTAACTCATAAATGCACCTGGACCTACGAGAGTCTTCCACAGGTGCTTCTGAGGACATCCAGGCCCTTTCAGTCTAAAGGAGGTGCTGGGGTGTCAGAATGGTACACTCAGAGAGCACCATCAACAGGCCTGCTCTGCCCAAGACTCTCAGTCCATTTCGCTAGCAGCCCCCAAAAAGGCAGTTGCAAATCTAGGACACACACTCATAGAATAAAGTAGGATTTCCCTAGTGTTGATAACAAAGGGAGCAATTACAGTAATAACAGAGTATATACATGAGGAGAAAACAGATGAACCCACAAGTCCTCAAGACAGTTCTCAATGACTCCTTGGAGGATGCCTTTAGTGAAGAAACAGCGTGTGTTTTGCTTTGCTTTGTTTTTCCCTGTTGACAATGGTTGAAAGGAAAGCCACCTGATAGTAAGTAAGAAAATACTGGCTCTGCGTTCACAGGGGCCTGGCTTTAAATGACTCTTACTTACAAAGCAGTGACCTTGAGCAGAGAACTTAATTTCTCCAATATCTACATTGTGGACTATAATTGTACCTGTCTCCAGGGGCTACTAGAGGATTAACAGGATTGCTGGCCTCATAGCAGAAACTCAGCGTCCCTATCTGCCCACATCTATCCTCTCTGTGTGGAAACAAGATTAGAGATGACTGTCAGTGCTTTTGTGTTGTGTAGTATTTACTATTCAAAAGAGACCTGCCAATAGCAGATGCTAATGCTGTTGAGGACTTGCAAGTACCAGGCATAATTAACTCATCTAATCCACACAACTCCAGGAGACAGGGTTCTGTAATTTCATTGCACACATGAGGAAATTACGGCACAGTGAGTTCAAATAGCTTGCCTGCGGTCACACAGATGCAAATAGTAGACCCAGGATTCAAACCCATAGACTCAGGATTCAGAGGCCAGGGGCTTAACCCCTCCACTGCGATGGCTCTTGGCGTTAGTGCAGGTCTCATGGGATTATTATGATGAGCAGCAAACATGGTGCTTGTGGAACACTAGTGTAGAGCTGAGCACACACAGTGCAAGTCACGCTAGATGTTATACTGACAGCATTGGAATGTCCCAAACGAAATGAGTCTGAATCTGGTGACCTTTGAAAGAGAAGCAACCTGGGTGCCTTCATTTGACTTTGGCTTGTCTTGTAGACAGTACCCCAAAGAAAGCATCACAACCACTATCTCAGGGAAAGAATTAGAACTATAGTGTTGACCATTATTACAACCAATGCTAGATGTGGTAACTCAGTTGTCATGTTGTGTCTTCTCTTGAACTTTCAGTTAGATTTCATCAAATTAAAGTACACAAAGACCAATGTAGACTTTTGATTTTTTTTTATTGTGCCTATTATGAAAAATTAAGTAAAGAATTCAAGGAAAAATGATGGCAACTTAAGGATGTGTAAAAATGGAAATCTTCAAGGTGGTCATCTGGTTAAATGGCCGTAAGGGACATGACTAGAAGCTGCATGCTGTCTGTACTCAGAAGGCATGATTATTTGGGTTGCTGGAGCAGCTGATGGAGATCATGGAGAGTGTTGCTAAAGGACTATCCCTTAGCCCTGCCCCTGAGTAATGGCAGAATTCATTGTTGCTACAGAGTGAAATTTTCAGTTTGCCCAGTGGTGTAAAAAAACATCTTTGTGGGCCCGCCCGGTGGCGCAAGCGGTTAAGTGCGCGCACTCCACTGCGGGGGCCTGGGGTTCGCAGGTTCGGATCCCGGGCATGCACCGACGCACCGCTTGTCAGGCCATGCTGTGGCAGACGTCCCATATTAAAGTGGAGGAAGATGGGCATGGATGTTAGCCCAGGGCCAGTCTTCCTCAGCGAAAAAAGAGGAGGACTGGCAGATGTTAGCTCAGGGCCAATCTTCCTCAAAAAAAAAAAAATTTTGCAATATTGACATAATAGAAAAATACACAGGTGACTGAAATAACCCAAACCCAGAGAGAAAGCCCAGCTAGATCCTCAGGAGACAGTTTTAGGGAGAATAAACAATGGAGAAAAGTTGTCTTCTTTATGCCACCCTCTGTTACGAACTCTTTCCACCGCCACACACTGCTGTTCTCCTTAACAGGCAGAAGGCGACGATGACAAAGTAGACCGCGCTCACGAGGAGGAGGAGGAGGTAGGTGTAATAGGCAAAAGTGTTGGTGAGCTGCAGCTGCAGGGTGTCTAAGAGAAGACTTTGGTTAGTTTGACTGTTCTTCAAAAATGGTGGGACATATTAATGGGAGAGTGGTCACAGTTATCTATTTCTGATGACCTACATTGCAGTGACACCCCACACCACCAAAACCTAAAAGTAAACATCTACCCCCACCACCACCACAGACAACAACAGGACAAATCAGAATCCAGTTTATAGGACATGTCAAACAACAACCTCTGCTAAATTCACTTCGAATATTCCAAAATATAAAAAGTAAGGCTGTATTTTTAATGAATGAGTCCAATGGGAAAAAAGTATTTGTGACAAATAACGTTTAACGTTTCTTCACTCCCACGATGTCCCTAAGTGATAATAATAGCTAATATTCATTAACCACTAATCAAACGCCAAACACTTGTTCTGAGAGCTTTGCATGCAAAGCTTTAATCATATTTAAGTTTTATAATAACTTATGAGATTTTATTTTGTGAGTTTATCATTTTTATTCCCATTTTTCACATAAACTGAGGACAGAAAGAGAAGTAATTTGCCTGACGTCATGCATTTAGTATCAGAAACCAGATTCAATCCCAGCACCATGAATTTAAAGAACACATTCTTAGCTATTCTGTAATTCTGCCTCTCCAAGTGCAATAAATTCCCCAGACATCAAAACATTAAGCATACATATAAAGTTGAATTCTGATTCAGAAGCATCTGAGCCATTACATGCTGTGCATGCAATGTGATTCCTATGAAGGGTACAACCCATGGAAATTTGGTGGTATTCACAGTGCAGTGGGTGGGAGTGTTAGTAAAGAGGGCATTATATAAAATGGAAGAGAGTGGTTAATCCAAATTCTCTGAAACTTTAGGAAGTCAAGGCTCATTCGTCCCTCACTGCGACTATGATGTTAGAGGATATCTGCTCTTAATACCATTGAAGTTTTCAAAGAAATATATGATGTCAAGAAATAATTAATGACAATGATGGCAAGCCAGTCTGGCTATTGAATGAACCACAATGCCAAGTCTCTTCCTGTGGAAATTACTCTTTAACGTGTTTTATCTTGATGGAGTCAAAACTCCAGAATCATTAGCACTCTGTGTAGAAAGGGAACTCAGAGGTAATGTGCTCATAATTCCTTGCTCTTGGTCAAGTAAGGTGTTCGCTGAGGTCCAGAGCTGCCTTGATATTGGAAATGAAGGAAAGATCAGCAGGACTCAAGCCAGCACTTCTAGTCCCTTTTTTTGTACATATGTAGGGAGAAAGGGCTTCAAACTAATACTGATTCTGTGACAGCCAAATGAGACACCCTATACTAGACATTCCACACAGGTGACTTTATCTCTTCAATAACTGAGTTAGGTGTATAAATTCCTGGTTGGCAGATGAGGAAAACCTTGCTTAGAAAATGTAAGTAATTTTCCTATTTTGATGTAACTAATCATTAAAAGAACTGCTCAGTCTGCTCAGTGATACTGTGAATCCCATGCACAGACCCACCCCCCACCATGTCCATCGTGTCTCAGGGCCTTGGTTTTGGGGTTTCTTGTTCTAAGACTGTATCTTAGAGGAAGAAAGGAAGACTGGGTAAGTGTATGAACTCTTAACTCAGATGGCCAGGTTGAAACCCCAGATCTAGCTGTGTGGTCTGGTGCAAGGGCCTAATTAACTTGATCTCATTTTCAACATCTATAAAATGGGGAAAAAATATCATACCACCTCCTAGGAGTATTATGAGACTTAAACAAGAAAATGCATGCGAAACCCAGCACAATGCCTTCTGTACAGGAAGCTCTCAGTACTTCTCAGTTCATGTTATTAGCTAGTAGCAAGGACCAAAGACTTCAAAAAAAAATCTAGAAGCACGTTGATGTCACAAATTCCTGAGTCATTAGAAACAAAAGCCATGCAAATGAATGAAGTCCGTTGTCGAAATAATTCAGAGCCTATCACTGCACCCACTAATTCAGTCATCTCATCCCCAAACCAGCATTTATGGGGTTAAGATGACTCCCAGGAAAGGATGGACTGATTTAAAGTATCACTCAGTCTATTCTGTGACATCCAGCCATTCTAGTTTTTCTACCTTAAGTCAGGGGAGTTTAAAAGTTAAGTTGGTCAGGAAGAAAACATGCTAAAACATGACATGAAGGCAAACATGCAAAACTTACTGCTTTCATCTCTCAGACAAGCTTTTGTAGAATTAATAGCAGCGACCTCTAGAAGAAATGAGAGCAAGTATTAGTCAATTGTTCACCCCTGCTATTTGACAGTTGATATTTACGTATATGTACATATATATATATATACACACACACATATTTATATAAAATATGTCAAAGAGAGGCAGGAGAAATACTCATGAAAAATATGAGCCCCACCATTTCAGGAATAATTAGTCTTATCTACTATGAACCAGGGAGTTCAAAAGGTAATTTGATCAGGAGGGAAAAAATTGCTAGAGCATGACATGAAGGCAAGCGTGTACAAAACTTACCACTTTCCTCTGTTGGGGAGGCTGTTGTAGAATCAGTAGCAGTGACAACTAGAAGAAATGAGACCAAGTATTAGTCAATTGTCCGTGCCCATTACCTGAAGTGTGTGTGTGTGTGTGTGTATATATAAAATATGCCGAGACAAGAGAGATAGTCATTAAAAATATGAAAATTATGAGTCCCACAATTCCAAGAATAATTGGTCTTTTCTACTTTAAGCCTGAGAAGTGCCAAAGTTAAGATGATCGGGAGGGAAAAAAAGGCTACAGCACGACAGAGAGGCAAACATAGACAATCACTTACTGCTTTTATGTTTCGGATAAGCCTTTGTGGAATCGACAGTAGTGAAAATTGAGGTGGCAACCAGAAGAAATGAGAGCAAGTATTAGTCAATTATTCATGCCCATTATTTGACAGGGTGTGTATCTGTTTATATGAGTATGTGTGTATGCACACACACATACAATCCGCTGACAGAGAGACCCTCCTTAAAAATATGAGCCCTATGATTACAGGAGTAGCTCACCTGATTCTATGCAATTCAGTAGATCTAATTCATGTACTGTGTTTCTGCACATGAAGATGCTGACCTTCATGAAGGATACATTGTTTTCTTTATTAGAATTGGTTGGTAATATTAAAGACTATCCTGTTTTCCTTCTGTACTCATAGCTCCTAGCACAGTGACTGCCACAAAAGAGGTGTTGGAGAAATACTTGTTGAATGGAAAAATAAACCGAAAATGTGGCTACTCTACAGTCTTCAGCACACGATGCTGACATGAAGAGTTGCTACCAAAATCAACTCATCAAATCTTAGAATCCACAACAGGATCTCAGATTTGAAGGAGTCTGGTTTATGCAAATTTCCCATCTAAACAAAGGAAATCAGGCATACCTTTCCAAAGCATGCGTATCCCAATATCCCCAACTCATACACGTGATTTTCTGGAACGGTGGTGTTTGTGGCCATGACAACCATGTGAATAAAAGCTAATAGCTATTGGGACTGGCCCAGTGGCGTAGTGGTTGCGTTTGTGTGCTCCACTCTGATGGCCTGGGGTTCACAGATTCCGATCCCAGGCACGGACCTATGCACTGCTTGTCAAGCCATGCTTGGCAGGCATCCCACATATAAAGTAGAGGAAGATGGGTATGGATGTTAGCTCAGGGCCGATCCTCCTCAGCAAAAATAGGAGGTTTTGCAGCAGATGTTAGATCAGGGCTAGTCCTCCTCACCAAAAAGAAAAGCAGGTAATAGCTATTGAGTGATTATTACTGTGCCGGGCACTGTGTTAAATGCTCCACATGTGTTATGTCCTTTAATGCTCCAGTCACCCTGAAGTGAGTTGTAGTTTGGAGGACTCCTTGTTGCAGATGAGGAAGCAAGGTTGGGCGTGTATGTAATTGCTGAGAGTCAGAGCCCTGACAGCAGAGCCAGTGTTCAACGGATCCTTGTGGGAAATTAAGTGAGGTACAGCATGTGGAAAGTACTTGGTAAAAATAATCCATAGAAATAGAAAATAATCTATAGAGAAAAAACATAATTCCACTATTGTGAACACTGAAAACATCTTCTCTTCAAAATATGTTAAATATTTTTAGGTAATGAACATTTTATTACAGGAACTCAACATTTCACTGTAATTCTTTCCAAATATCAGCTAAATCACATCTATACTTCTTGAATATATACAACCTGAGGTGAGGCTTATAACAACGCAAAAAAAAAAAAAAGGAAGGCAAACATACAAACAAATTTTTTTTAAAAGATAATTGACTGCTGGATAGAGGAAAACAAGAGTTGAATCAATCGTTTTGGTATTCTTTTTCTACTAGATGTGATCTTGTCCATATGGATGTGGATCTGGTATACAATTTTATGCACTCAATGAGCTATATGTTTTTTACAACTCTAAAACTTGATTTGAGATATAGGATTTGGAATAAATTCCAAAAGTAAAAATAGTAACATAGTCATGTTTAGATGTTAAAATATATGCAACAATGACTTTAATGTGTCTTAGAAGTCTCTTTCTTTTTCTTAACAGTGACTTTTTCATTAAAAGATAAATAAAATTCTTTTATTACCATGCATTAATTGAGGAAAAACAATAAAGTAACAATTTTTCATAATAAAATCTGTGTACATATCATAACTTCTCTTTTTCAGTCAAGGTTGGTGAAAAACTTGGACCAGATTAGTTTTATCTCTTCAAAATGACTTCATTGATTTGTGCTTCCATGTTATATTCCTAACTTTTATCAAAAACAAAAAACTCCCAGGAAACAGCATTAGAAATTTGCTGTAGAATGACAGTAACAGAAATGTCCTCCTTAGCTTTGTTGCCCTGAGAAGGCCATGGGGGGCATTTGTTTCAGAAAGTAGGTGCCAAGTAAAACACATTATGAACTAGAACTCTATAATAATCATCACCATGGAACTTACTATACTTCTTATCTTTCCCTAGTCACTAGAAAAATCAAACCTAATAGGACACTTCAGCCTGGTGGTTACATTAAATGTGTGCTTTGCATATTTGCTTACTTTCTGTTTCTCAGCTGTAGAAATAGTAAATTAGAGCTGGTTTTTAAATTTTATATCAGTGAGTTTTAGGAAAGTATTAAAAAATACGATAAGTACATAAATAAATATATCATGTTACGTTTTCAAATCAAGTGTTTTCACTGACATTATTACATTTACTTTTCATCACGGCCCCAGGAGAAAGTCAAGGTAAGTGTTGGAACATAATTTGATCATTGAAGAAACTGAGGATCTGAGAAGATAAAGCCTGACTTCAGAAATTCGACTGGTGCACAGCACAGGTCTTCGCACGTTTTGTTGTGTGCCTGTTCCCCACTGCTTCAAAAGGGCCGTTAACAACAGGGAAAAGTACAAACTAATTCATTCTGATGGGCACTCTGGGACCTTTGGTCTGTTGTGTTGATACTCAGGACTTCAAGTCTTGAGTCTAGTGAGCTACTGGACCACTGCCAGGACTCCTTTGGTACATCATGCCTGAATCACAAGTGAACTTGAGAGATTAGGAAAAGAATACATTCTCTTTACTGTAGTGCAGCCTCCTTGGGGAATTAATTCATCCCAGTGTGCTCATCCACACATCCCTACCAGGCCAGGCACAGGCTAGGTCTGCAATAATGTTTGTTGACCTGCATTTACCAATGGCAAGAAATACATTCATTATGTAGAATGAAAGTATGTGTGTACGCATTAGCCTCATCCAAAGTCTAATTATGAAGTTTTACCTTATGGTGGTATATAAAATACAAATTCAGAAAACCTAAGACCATAATAAAACTGCAATGGCCAAATTATGCTATTTTTTCTTGAGCCACAATTTGGGTCTATCAAAAGACCACAAGTTTGTCACCTAATAACATTGTTTTGCGTTTATACTCTGATCATAGCAAGATTAAAGTGAGAGTGACTTTGTTTACTGAGTAGAATATTCCAGAAAGATGTATAATTGCTTTATTTCCTGATCCAGTAAGTTCATCAAAAGAGGAATCTCTTTTTGAGCATTTCCTGTGTGCTAAATTGCTAGGTGCTTTCACGTATGTTGTTTCATTTAATCCATCAATAACTCTAAAAACCAAGATTGAGACCTTAATATTTTGGTTGATGAAACTGAGGCAGAGAAAAGTTAAGGAATTTTATCCTTTTCTTTTCCTGTTTTCCAAACTCTATACTATTTTAATTCTAAGAGGAAATAGAGGGATATTTATGCTACCAATAAGTGCAACAACATTTAAGAAAGATTTGTGTTTGTTTTTCATTAATACATGATAGAAAAAATGGGATATCCCTTTGAAAAAAAGTGTTCTGGGAGGTTATGTTTATATATACATACCTTTGTTCACTGAAGGAAAAAGAATCTCTTGGTCAACTCCTCTCTTGTTATTCTCATGTTGGACGATACATCTGTGTTCTTTATCCGTTGACGTTCCCGTCACGGTCAGCCAGCTCAATTTCATGTACGTGTCATCAGTCTTCATGGTGTTTCCCTGTTGGGATTCCAGAATTCTATTGCCATTCTTTTCTTTCCAATATACCTTAATAACATCTGGGAAGAATTTCTCAAGAAGACAAAGGTATGTTCCAGCATTATGGAGATTTATTTCAGCAATTGAAGGAAGAAAAATAGTGGGCTTGGGGGAAACGTCTGCAGGAAGGCTTCTGTCTGTGGGGGAAAATGGAACAGCAGTTAAAAAGAATCATTAGAGAAGCACAAACATTGTTCCGGAACAACCTAGTGCATATAGTAAATGGAAGAAAAGCTGCCATTGAATTAGTGCTTACCGTGGCCTTCCATCCACAATAGACTGTGAGGTATTTATTGTTCTTATTTTCAACAGGAAAAGAGCTTCCAGAGGTTATGTAACTTGCCCAGAGTCACAACTATAAGTGGCAGAGCCTGTATTAAAATGTGGCTTTTGTTCTTTCTCCACACGCTAAGATGGAGTATGACTTTTAACTGCCGCATTTCAAGGCATCTAACGTTCATGAGCACACGTATTTTTTAAAATCTCTTTTGTCCCTATCATAATGGAGCATGTTTTCAAGGTGGGTAGGTAGGTGGTGGGGATGGGAGAGAAGATGAGGTAACTTTGATAATCTCTCTACACATGAGAATGTTTAGTACTTTCTAAAGTACTTCCCTTTTCCCATCCTGGGAATTTTGTAACTTAGGCTCTTTTGGC